CCACAGACGCCTGCTCCCCATAAGTCAAGTTAGTATTCAGCAGATCCCAAGGCAGGGGTGTCTGGCCACATCAATGATAACATGTACATGTAAGATATCCAGGACCATCTGTGAGGGCCAAGGGAGTGAGTCTAAGTTTCTATTCTGATAACCCTCACTTGCTCCACGGAGACTCTATTTAACTGTTGCTTATAAAGGTTTATGTTCTGGACCCACTAGTACATGAGCTAAATGGCTGCAATGGTTGACCAGATTTACCTCCTCATCATTCAATGCCTAATGTAGTTCTTTAGCCAAAGAATTGGTCATCTTTCAGGACATGACTTGTACCGTTGCTCATTTTACTGTTTCCTCCTAAAGTTTTCTCTGGTGATAGTGGCACCTTAAATTAAGGCTCAATTTTTTACTTAGCTGAGAGGGTTCACAGGCCGTGGCCAAGCAGTAATTGGAAGAAGGAGAGGAGCTCAGGGGAGGAACATCTATAGTAGGCATCAAGGGGTATTAATGGGAAGGCAAATGGACCCTCAAATCTAGTCTTCTCCCTGTGGTGTCTTGCCCTCATTGTTTTACTATTTTTTAATGTTTTTATTGAATTTATTAGGGTAGCATTGGTTAATAAAGTTGTACAGGAGTCAGGTGTACAAGTCTCTAATACATCATCTGTATATTGTACTGTGTGTTCACCACCCCAGGTCATGATCCTATTGCTATTACATAGTTGCAGATGACTAATCCACCCCCCATGTTGAGTGCAGTAGTGGACAAAAGAGACATTTTTATTTTTATTGCCTTCATTATTTGTTTTTATAAGAAGTAAACTTTGGCTGTTTGGTGACTCTAGTGTGATAAGAAGCATGTTGATCCCTCCCTGGAAAACACTCTTGGACTCCCAGGAACTCTGTTTACGACAGCCGTTACCTTTTATTTATGTCTGTCAGTCACTGGGCAGCTAACTAGACTGTGGCATATGGATCCCCAAAGGCAAGGAGAAAGACTGCAAATGCTGTGTGCTGCCTGAAAAGGAGTTCATATTTATGATTTCGTTTACCCCACGCTGTGAGTTTAAATGTGGCAATTTTCGAGCTGGGAAAACAATTGCCATTAACAGATCCTGGAAATGCTCTTGTTAGTCTTACAGACACCTTTGTGGGCCAGCGTGCTCTGCCTCCGTCTTGGTCTCTTTTTCTCTCTCTCTCCTCTTAGTTCCTCTCTCTCACACACACACACAAACAACAACAACAAAAACAACCCAAAATGGACTCTGGGCTTGACAGCACACAAAGAGCATTGAGTGACTATGCGATTCCTCCTGGGGGAAGTTCAATGCAGGGTACACAGCTGCTACCCAAACTCACGGCCCTCTCTTCCCCCCGCCTTTCATTTTAAGGCAATATAGCTAGAAAGACTCAGAGTGGGTGAGGGAGAGATGTAGGTGCAGGGACAAAGGGGAACTGCACTGAAAGGGAAGGTACAAGGAGCCATTGAAAGGGAGAGGAAAGGTGGAGGCTACCAAGTTCTTAATTCTTATTTTTGCTGTGTGTTATCAGACAACTTTTCTGTCTTTAAAAAATGAATCCTCTAGTGTCTGTTCCCCTCACATACAGGATCTAGTTTGGGGTCAGTAGGGTGAAGAGATGTTTGGAGAAAGTGGATGATCCTCATGGAATGAGCCCCACAGTAGGAATTGTGGGAAAAATTTATGTATGTCCTATATTGGTGGGCTCATGGTCTCACAATCAGATTTAAAAAGGGGCTACCTGAAAAGCATTTCATCAAATTTCACCTTAAATATAACCCCTTTGGGGGTGATTCTGTGAGTTTGAACTCTGATCCCTTATATTATAATGTTGTTTTCCAGCTGATTCCTGTGTTGGCTGAATCTCCACTGATAGATTGTGTGTTCCTCAAAGCAGAGATGAGGATTCCTGTATTTTTAGACCCCTCCCAACACCATTTAGTATAAGATATTCCATTCAGTATAAGAGTTTGAGAAATACTTTTACTTTGCTTGAATGAATGGACAGAACCTAAATACAATATTCCCTGATGTGTCTATAACTCAGCTGTTTGGCAAACTTACCTATCTGGAATATAACAGAAAAGGACCAGAAAGTATACAAAGAAAATGCACAGGATTGTAGGATGATTGCTGTAGTTGACAATAGTTTTACTAAGGACTTACTATGGGCCACATGTTATATTAATTACTATACAAGCTTTATTTAATTTAATCCTCACATCCCTATTTGGTTGTTATGTTATTACTATTTCCATTCCACAGACAAATACATAACTTGCCCAATGTTCTAGCCCAGGTCTGTGTGACTGAAGTCTGTCCACTAACCACTGTGATTCCCAGCTTTCCAAAGATGGGGTGCTGTATGCATTGCCATGTCCCCTCCAGTGTTCACTTAGCCCCACCCCCCACTCATTCAGCCCTTTTTAAAAGCTTACTTTGCACACAGTTGTAACGCCCAAGGATCTCTATTATCCCAGACGACAGCAAAAGCAGCAAATGAGAAAAGTTTCATCACAGGCTATTTCATAATGTGATGATTTATACTTGACAATAAGGAAGGGGCCAAAGCAGTTTTTTTCCTTTTTCACCCTCTTCTGTCCTCCCCATTCCCCTGCCCTTCTTCCTTTTCTCTCTCTTGCTCTCTCTGGAGACAAAGAAGATGGTGCTAGGAGGATGGTAGCCTGGGGCTGTTCTGCTTCTGGCAAACTGCCCTGTGCATATGTGTCCTCTGCAAGAATCACTGGGTTGGAATCCAGTATCATATATTGATAATGATGGAATCCTCAAGAAAGTTTATGTTCAACAAATTCAAAACAGAAGTTAGAGAGGTATGAATTTGATTTAAAAATATTCCCTTTTAAAATGTTACATTAATATAAAAGCCAAGAGGTTAAAAAAGGTAAGAACTCAGCTATCTGGAAAATCCAGGGTCCTGCATAGCAGAGGGTGTCCTCTCAATGAGCAGTAGTTTCCAGACATGCAGATTTTATGGATGGGGAAACAAGTAAAGTGGGAGTGGGGGAACCAATGTAAATGTATAGCAAACATTAATTTTTCTGTGTGAAAATGTTTAAAGAGAGCAATTACCATCTATCATCACCTTCCTCTAACTGAGTTAAGGAAGCTAAAAAAAAATCAAAGAATTAGGAAGGACAGCATTTCAGAATAAGGGAAGTCTTTTAGGTTGAATGATTTAGACACCTTGTTCTTGTTTTACCCTATAATTTGAATAAAAGACAGAGCTGCAAGTATCAACAGCAAAGATTTTATAAAGGGCTCAAAGGATGGTTATAACAATTGCTTATTTAATTAAACAAATCTGTAGTAGAACT